GCCTAGTCGGGCCGGAGTCCGGATCGGACACGGCCCGTTAGGTCGGTTCGTTTTTTTATAAAGAATTACGCGCAGAAGAAAAAATAAAAATAAATACTAAACGGACTCCAAAAATTCCGAAATAAATTTTTCCCGGGCTTTTAAAATCAAGCCCACAAGGTGAACATTTATTTGGGGCCTAAATGCAATTTTGAAAAACGCACATTTTTCCTAAATTCAAATAAAATAACAAAAAACTCCGAAATAAAATCTTATTTGATTTTATTATTAAATCTTCAATATTTCTTTATTTTGGGAAAGTCATTTTATTCCCTCTCTCATATTTTTGTAATAGAAATAATTGACGATAAAATAACAAAATCAAATGATCCTATTCTCAAAATTTGAGAAAACTCAAATATGAAAATAACGAAATCCCCAACTTTCTCTGTGGGTCCTTGAATTGCGTAGAAATTTATAGGATCAACCTAAAACAAAATAAAATATGATATGCATTTATGATCTAATGTATAACATTCCAAATTGAAATTTTGGGATGTTACAGATCTCCGCGAAAGGGACGACGAAGGCCTCGCCGCCACCGTCACTGGTGGCCGCACGGGCTTGCCCGGCGCCTTCCTCGGGTAGCGGCGAGGAGGGGTAGAGGAGATGTAGGTGGCGGCGCTCGGAACCCTAGTCGCCGCCCGAGTCGCCCGAGCGGGCAACACGGGGGCTGGGAGGGAGGAATCTAAAATGGAGACATGTCTTACGTCCGCTATCCTAGATTTATTTCAGGAATTCCGGCGATATGCTTTCAGTGGGAGGAGACATTTCCGTCAACTACGAGGCGCCTACGGTGACTTCGTAAAATCTCAAGATGATATGCCGGCTCAGTCTCTCGGAGATGCTCATAGGGGTATGGTGTGCGTGTGTGCGTTCATAGGGGTGAGTGTATGCGTGTTTATATAAACGCTTGTGTCTGTATTGTGTTAAAAAAAAAAGGCATGCATGCCGCACACCATTGCTGCGGAAGCCCGGCCACGGTGAACACAACGAAGATCCACCAGTTCACTGCTTGTCCTGCAGCGTCCGTCTCGCCGCCGGCGACGCGCACATGATGTATGACACGATTACCACATCGCCGGGAAGCGAGAACATGCGACACCAGGAGGATGGCGAGGCGCCGAGGACGACGAAGAACCGTGATAGCACGACGTCACGCTGCTGCTTTGTGTCGTCTAAGTGGCCGCGCGACTTGTTCATATCATGAGGCATGAGCGATTCAGCGGTGGACATTATTCGGTTGTAAATGATGGCGGCCACCGTCACGGATGAGCTCTAAATAGTTCAGATTTGTGCCACGCCTCACTTGAACCACCTGGGCAGTAGGAATGCTCGAGTGGACACCGTCGTGACCGGATGACGGTGAAGATCACGGCCATGCCGTTGGACGCCTTGCCCCTTCGAGCGCGGCCGGCGGGCCGAGAGTTTTTGCGACTAGGAGGCTGGTATCAAGCAAGGAGAAGCAGAAGTATGCTAGTGGATGAGAGGGAGCCTAGGTGTGGCCGAACGGTCCAGCCAGTGCTCGACGCTGCTGCGACATGTGCTCCTTGATGTGGTGCCATGCGTATGACCTGAAGAGCTAGAGCCTAGAGCAGGAGGCACTTGGAGGTGCTCGGCGAGTTTCTTATGAGCTCCGGCCATGGGCTTTGTGACAACGCCTCTGTACATACGGGAGTGAGGAGAAAATACACAGATTTTTTTGTCTTCCCTTTTGCTGAAAAAGGGGTACCAGAGGAGGAGAAAATGGTGTGGCTGTTGGATGGTAAATGAACAAACGGGGGTACCGATGGGAGCACGCCAAGGGAGCAGGCAAGCCCCGTCCCAGGCTCCAGGTGAGGTTTTGGATGAGTCAGAGTTATCGGGGTACTACGTGGCGCAGGTTCAGACTCTCGCACTCGGAGTCTCGGACACACCCGTGGATGTTTGCAGCACCATGTTGAACAAAAAAACGTCCGCATCAGTCCGTGGACGTTTCAGGCCGGCGCTGTAGATTCCCTTAAACCTCACCCCCACCAGCATACTGTAAACACAAAGGTTCAGCAGTAAAGCAAAGAATGGCAACTTTCAAGTCATTATCACACTAGCACTTCCCTTTCCACCCACTAAATAAAGAAAGGGATCAAAAGAGAGACGCTGCAACCAGCAGACGGACGAGTTCAGTTTCCTGCTAATGCCTCCTTTTGGTTTGAATGAATTTCTTAGGAACTCTATAGGGTGGGATTTTTATAGGAATTTTTTCTTTAGAGCCCTTTGGTTCATAGAAATGGATTCCTATTTCTACATAGGATTGGTTCATATCCTCCACATTTCAAAGGAAAATAAACATTAGCCTAGACTCAATGAAAAATTTCCTATGGTGTGAACCAAATGACATCTCGTTCCTATTCCTACTCATAGGTTTTGAGACATATGTCACCTCATTTCCTACAAGTTTCCTATTCCTATGATAATCCTATCCTATGAACCAAAGGAGGCCTAAGAGTAGTCACACTGGCAGTTCGTGTAAAGGCAGCAGGGAATTGGATGTGAGCTGTCGAACCACTGAGAGTGCACTAAAATTCATACGAAAAGCCCAAGTGAAGTGAGCAACCAAGTACGGTCACGGTAACGAAAAAAACACGGTACACTTGTGTAATGATCTCAATGGTGTGATGACAGTGAATGCCACCAGCTTCTTCAGACATCAATGGTAAGAACTGGCAATTTAAGTTCCGCTGTGAACTGAGAGGATGGCATTCGTATGCGCGTCTACTCTGTGGCGATGAGAAAAGGCAGTCCCCTGAAAGAAACAAGCACTTCGGTTAGTGTCAGGGGCACCAGTAGGTGATAAACCCCAGGTTGCATGGTAATAATAGTTCAGTGAATCTATCCAGACAAGTCAATGTGGAAAGCTGAAGTAAAGTATGCATGCATACCAGCCCCCTCTCCTGGAGAAGTAATCCGAGTCCAGGGACACCGCCAGAGCAAGAGCTACGGCCCTTTCAGGTAAACTCAGCGGGCGAACAACGTTTAGTTCTTCGATCTGGAAGCATAAGTGAGACATGAGTTTGAGACCAGTTTAAAGGGAGGTTCTTAAAATATCAGTGTAAAGAGCAACATTGTTTGCAAGTACAGAAACTGAAACACGCCATATGATCCTAAGTTTCACATCCGGCAGGGGGGCACAGCTACATCAAGGCAGATATGCTCTTAATGTCTGTCAAGTGAGAACACTTACATCTGAACCAAGACCAAGTCTACTGCTTTGTCCATCATCACCAAACCGAATTGCATACTGGCCAGCATCCGTAAAAAGCTGCAATGAGATACAACCAAAGATATATTGATCAGTCATTACTCCTCGGTTAACCACGTCCTTTCTACAGGCTAAGATAATGCAACACAAAATGCACTCGGAAAAGATATGTGATGTGCAACCATGCTACAATTATGTGTCCAATGATGTATGATAATTTCCTTGTGCAGAAGAAATGTCAAGCAATAGTATCACATCATATTTCTTATTGATCAGAGTGTGGATTGTTAGCTTATGTTACTGATTATGTTTTGCTAGACATCTATGAAACACATTCCATAATGAATTTCCTTCAAATGCATGAAAATACACGCCTACTCAAAAGGAGATTACCTCAAAACCAATTCCCCTCCAATTACGGTCAATCTGGGCCAACACATTTTCATCTTCATCAATAAGGGTAAAGGTCCAGTTCCAAAATCCAGGATTCTCAACCACAGCAAATTGCTTGTTCCTAAAGAACAAACAAGTTGAAAATCAACCTGTCAGACGGTATAGCAAGAATGACAGCTACATAAAGAACCTAGACTGGATTAAAGAAATAAAGGAATTGGGAGATCAGAAGACCATGTTACCCTAAGTACAGATCATAAATTCTACGCCAAAGATGCCAGCGCCTGTGGACTACACCTACCTCCTGATCAAAGGAAAATAATGAAACTTCATCAGCAGTATTCCTGTGCATTCATACGAGGACAAAACTCCCATCTGAGTGAGTTATAGCAATCAAATCAAGAATATTTGTGTACCTTGCCATCCACTTCTGCATAAATGGAGCTGTTGATGAACCAAAATGGCCGGCGGACCTGAACCCAATAGTATCCATAGCATTAATATCTTTGCAGAAATTCCAACTATGTATTTACAACGAAAAACAACAATGGCTCCTCCCAAAGAAGAAAAAAAACAATGGCAAATTCTTACCGTGAATATCTCATTACCCATAGCATCAGTAAATTGTGCAGTAAATGGCCGTCTCGACCGAAGTAACTGAAATACCAGAAAAAGGGAAATATTGTAAGGTACTAATAGTTGCCATCAAGGAAAAAAAATGAATAAATAAACGTCAGATAAAGATGAACAAACAAACGCCAAATACAATAAGGTGCTTGTTGTTTTTTGCACACAAAAAAATTAGATAATAGCATTAGATTATTTCCTAGACTAGCAATACTAAAAAAAATACATAATTGACTTTCAGCATCATAACTGATCAAGACAGCAAGGGAGTGAAATTTTGCAATGTTGTAAATAAATAGGTCATATTCATCTATAAAGATGACAAAGAACATTAAGAAAGTAAATGAACATACATATCAGATGACACTTCTACCCTATCAGAAATATATTGCCAGCTAGATAAGAAATATATTCCCATGCTTCCATTACTAAATGGATAAAACACGTTACACATATAAAATTCTTCATCATAACTAAAGTTTCTCTCGCACAACGCCAATTGTTTCCATGAAGCTGAAACCAAGTACAAAATACAGTCCTTCCAGAGCACCGCAAAAACTACTCAATATGATAACACTGCATAGTGGAGGCTTAGAAATGGGAGAGCAACCAATTTTCTACGATATTCAACATTCACCACTGATACCTCTCTCTAATACATCAGATTTTCCCATGTCTCCATTTTCTCAGTCCCTTATAGCTTACATTTACCCCCATTTCACGTCCCATAGGAAATATTTCAAGATTTACACCGCATACCGTACATAAACTATCAGTGTCAACTCCAACTGAAAATATTAAATATGTAACCTCAATCATTCGAAAAACGAAAATAAGAGAACCAATCACAAAAAACTCCTTGCCCAGCAGAGAACAACCAAAAAAGCATCCAATAAAAATACATGATATAGTGAAAGACTTCCGTTATCTGTACAACCAAAAGATCACAATGATAAGTGACATGCTACCAACAGGTGTTCTTTAGCACAGGGAGGATAATGGAAACTCTGGTCTATCGAACAATTTTCAGTAAATTACCATAAAGTGTCAGCATAAGGTAATTTAAATTTATTTATGATCAAGTAACCACATAGATGTACCTGCCTAAAGATGACATTGCTTTTCTCTCGAATATATGCTACAGGCTGGCATTGAAAAAGAAACAAGTCAACGTGTAAGACCCGGAGATGAAGCATAGATGCTGAAATAATACAACAACCAAACCAGCTAGCTGGAAGGAGACACACTTACAGACTGGGAAAAGAGTGGATCCATTATGATATATCTACTCTCCTGCATTTCAGAACAATAGTAGTAAGCAAAAAAAAAAAAAAAACTAGCTTCAGCCAAATTATCAATAGTTCACATAAGCTGCTATTCCATTATGGAAAGAGCTGGAGAAGCATGTTCATATAAATCACCTGCTCGAAAGCAAACATGATATTCGCCCATTCCACATCTCTGGCTATAAGGAGGTTGGCTCTTGAGAGGAGAGGCTCCAGTTTGGCCTATAAAACACAGATAGAGGCCACCTTGGTTATTCCAATAGTTATAAATCACTCAGATTTCAGCACATTGAAACAGCTACGGTTGGATAAAACATCAACCATCAAGTATAACTGTAAGCGGTAGGGAACAAACTTTTAATCGATTGGCCAGTATCCTGCTATATTAGCCCCAGAAATATTCATTCACATACCACTACTCTGCCCTGTTCAGCTAACCTACAAATTCCCACACGACCCTGCTACCAATCGTAATCAGAGTTCAGTAGAGTCTACTAACTACTGGCAGGAGAGTTTTCTCTTCCATTCTCTAAAGAACTTCATCATGCGCCTTATAGGAGGGTTTCCTCTTCCGTTATCTAAAAATGGATTGGTTGCATAGAGTCTAAGATAACATCTGATCAAAATCGAATGGTACTACAAGTAACAAGCTGCAATTAGAGAATACAGATTCCGCTTGCCTCTAGGTATGGGAGGTCCTTGGGATCATAGTGGCCGCCTTTAGACGGGGCCACCTCGCCGCGGGCCGCTCCCCCAGCCCTCACCTTGTCAATCCCCGCCGCGGCGGACCCGGAATTCACGAAAGTGCGCGCGGCGTTGGCCAAATAGCCGAGCGGATCCTCGCCAACGCCTTCGGCCTTGCAGACCAAGGCGCCTCCCCCCAGTCTCCTCGCAGCTTCCTTCTCCCTTTTCAGCTCCTCAACCCACAGCCTCCGCAGCCACCCCCGGGGCAGCGGGGACCCGTCCCCGCCGCTGGAGAACCCCTTGGAACCCCTGACGTCGCTGCTGCGGGTCCTCGCCGCCGCCCTCCCGGCCGCGGCGGCCTGGGAGAGCAGCCCGGGCAGCCGCCACATCGGGGGGACGCCGGTTGGGAGCAGGTGCGAGGGGCCACCACTACGGCGAGGTCTGCGGCGCCGACGCCCAACCCCCTTTCGAGAATCGTCGCCGCAAGGTTCTGCAAGGGAGCAGAAGCACGGGACGGGACTAATTCGGTGAAGAGGACTGAGGGATCTCAGCCTGTTTCCCTTGGTTGGATGGGCCAGCTCTACCCGCCACCTGGGCTACCTGAAAGTGGCCCAGGTAGAGAGGTTGTGCAGGTGACCAGCCCTGCATTAGCAGCATGGCACGGGCTTTGTTAGAAAAAAAAATCACACGTGCGCCTGCAGCCCGAATTCCATATCTGACGCATTTTGCGTCGAAAAACTTTCAAACATTGGAAAATCATCTAAAACAACCGACTGATTTCTCTTTCTCCTAAACCGTCACCTCCGCACGCCACGTGGCCCATGGGAGTCCACTAACCGCTCTTCTCCCACATTATCTCTTCTCCTCCACTCGTTTCTCCTTTTCCTTTTTCACCTTTTCTCTCGTTCGTGAGCTGCCAGATGAGAGGATTCAGGAGGGGAATCGGGAGGACCACCGTCGGAGTTTAGGAATCAGGAGGACCATCGTGCGGCCGCTCGATAGCCTGCGCGTGTTGTTGTCCCCATAATTGCAACCCATGGAGTGTTGCACAATGTCACCCACCCCGTTACTGCAAGCTGCGAGGCCAGCCATTGCCCATTGCTGCTGGTAGGCACTCGCCGTACCGTCGCTCGAGGATGTGGCACTGCCGCAAATGGAGAGGTCGCACCACTTCGCGAAAGTTGCAAGCCGCACTGGTGCTGGGATGTAGCACTCGCTGGCGACTCCAGGTGTCGTGTGTGCGATGCAGCGCTGGTTAGCGAAGCCGGAGCTGTAATGCAGCGGTCACAACACTGCAGGGGAACCGTTGCAAAGCTTGCCAACAGTTGTTAGTGTTGTGATGCAACGGTCGTCGGCACTAATGGAGTTGCGATGCAGCGGTTGCGACACTACAGGGGAGGAACCAGTGTCTAGATGCAGCTTCGCCGGCGGCTGTCGGTGCTGCAATACAACACCGTCAGAGCTGCGATGGAGCGCTCATGATGATGCAAAGGTTGTTGGTGCTTCGATGCAATGCTCGCGAGCGGCTGCGGTGCTGCAATACAGTGCTCGTCGATGGCTGCTGCAAGGGGAGACGGGGTGTGGCAGGTGAAAATTTTCCTAATTTTTGGGATAAAAAAGCCTTCCCTGGTGTCAAGTCATTGCCTAGCTAGCCCAACCCCTGCAGGCGGAGGAGAAGGGCCATCTCGTCCACCACCATTCTCTCTTCTTGGTACACTAAAGGTGTCCTTTCGGAGGCTTGCTCGAGAAGCAAACAACATTCTTCCGTGCGACGATGAGACTTGGGGGCGTGGGCGTGCGGGTGCCTTGTGGCATGTCAGATATGAATCTTGGAACCCTTCGGCGTGCCGCCCCACACCCTCACCCTATCGTTCTCCTATCGAGGGCGGGGGCTTGGGCCCATGCATGGGCCATGCCGTTGTCGCTGACACGTAGACCGTCGACATCCCACAATGCTTAGGCCCCAAAGTGGAAGGTCCACCCGCTGACAAAAGTGGTGGCTCAGAAGCAGTTATTCGCCTCCTAAGATTAGAAGCAAAGTGTGCATTGGGACAGACCCGGTATCACTACGCGACTGTCGTACTAGAGGTTGGGAGGGCAATCTCGATCGGATTGGTCAGATCTGCATGCGCTGCCACCTACCTTATGCGCCAACTATTGGTGCTTTTAATCTGACGGGTCAAGGGATGGTGATTTGTCTGGTGGGGGCGAGCGCTCGATAGATCGAGATGGTGAGGGTAAGACAAAGGGAGTTTATCGAGGTTCGCCCTAAAAAATAGGGTATAACCCTAATCTTGCCCATGTTATCTTTGTTATTGCGGTGGTCGTCGGGGATTAGGGAGATTGCAGATGAGATCTATATTGGTGGGTACACTCCCTGCTGCCTGGTGACGGAGAGGGAGACGAGATTGGTTGGTTAGTGGATATGATTCTAGGGCTTTGTGAGTCCCTAACTATCTTTATATGACAAACTTCCGTGTTATGTTGAAGGGTGACTCCTATCCTCTCGGGTCCCGAGAGGTCCAGGGCTTGAGTAGCCGACCCTCCAGTCCTTTCGCCAGCTGGGCTCGGCCCGCTTGTCCTGAAGATCCCCATCAAGGGCCATGACTAGATCCATTTCCTCGTGCCCTCATCACTAGTGCATAGTTAAAAGGTTGCCTGACTTAAAAAAACTGACATGAAACATGGTACATGCATGGTAATCTATGTACTTGAATGTTTTAATCAAACAAAAAATATGGTGACATTTACAATTCACAAGCCCATTTTAAAACTAGTTTACTTTGATTTACTCTGAATAAAAAAATATTTGTTTTTTTACACATCTGCAAGTTTGTCTTTCTTTCATAACATAATATTGCACACGGTGTCCCTTTGTAACTAATGAGACGAGTCTACTGGGGTTTATCGAACTTAGTTTTGTGAAAAAATATGGAAAAAATATTCATGTCACGCTCATTTGCTTGAGCCAAGCTTGAACTTTGTCAACTTTACTCTATTCTTACAATGGAACACTGATTTTATTTATTTAACGGGCTTTTATGAGTCGACCTTGAGTCTTTGCGGGCTTCTCTTGAGCCGAGCTCGAGCTAGACAACAAGCACAAGGCCAACTCAAGCCTTGTTCGAGGTCGACTCTTAAGTCTTAACTTCTACTGAATTCAAGCCTAATAGTATTCGCTCGAGCATGGTTCGCAAGGTTGTCAAAACCATGATTCTATTATACGATCCTACGACTTTATGATCGAAACTAATTTATCCGATTTTACGATTTTAGTCTATAGAATCTACATTTATATAATCCTAACAATTAAGATTCTATGATTTATGATCCTCATTGAAGCTCCGATCTGATTCGAAACCATGATCCTGACAACCTTTAATATGTCTGCTCCAACCGGCCTGCAGAAACTGAACACTACTTTTTTGACAATAACCACACACTACACTTTGCATATGGGTGGCCCGGTCTTATTCAACGCTTAAGGCGCTACTTATAGCCTTAAGTATTCTTTTTAGAACATGGCCTTAAGTATACGTGGCGCACGCCCCTCGATAGCAATTAGCCGGCCCATTTAAGGCAATTCTCGCAGGACGCTCGTCCCAGTTTTGGGATGCATCCGGCGCCTTTTCTCCTTTTTGTTTACTAGTCAATGTGTACATGCAATGCACGTTAATTTAAAAATATATTAAATGCATGCGAATATTGAGCGGGATATTATTTGTGTGCTATTATGTGATTAGCATTATATTTGGCATGAAATTAACTGCACACTAAACGTGTTGAGCGCTCGACATTGAAGCAGTCTAGGTCGTTGGATTGACATGATTTGATGGTCAGGATTAATTGGATCAGCCCATTTGGGTCTTTTTATATTGGTATAGATGGTTTTTGGATTGTTTTTTTGTTTCGTTTTTCTGTATTTTCATTGTTCATTTTTTCCCTTTTCAATTGCACAAACTTGTTTGAGTTCATTTGTCAAATTCTTGTTTTTTGAAAAATGTGATCTTTGTCACATTCACAATTTTCCCATGTTTTGTGAAATTTGTAAATTCACAATATGTATTAAAAATTCGTAAAGTTTTTCTCAAAATCTGTGAGTTTAAAAAATCCTGAAATATTCCAAATAATTGTGATTTTTAATTTTTTTTAACCTTTCAAGTTCGCAATTTGTCCAAGTTTTGTGGTTTCTTTTCTCAACTTTCATACTTTTTCCAAATTTAAGATCCTTTTTCAAATTAGTGAACTTTCTTTTCACTTTTCTCAAATCCTCGTTTTTTACAAACTTTTTTCAAATTCATGATCCTTTTTCAAACTCATGAACTTTTTCCAAATTTTGAGACCTTTTTTCGGATTCATGATCATTTTAATTTTATGTTTTTTCAAGTTCTTGATTTGTTTTTCAAATATTTCTAAAAATTTGGCAATTTTTTCCCAATTTCACAAATTTCAAAAATATACTTAGTCATCGAGTCAACTAGTTAACTGGTTCGACTGGCTAACCGGTTAACCAGCTTATCCTTAGGGATCGGTTCTTTTTAGGAACGTCCGGGGTGATGTTAACCGTAAGAGCTATGTCTCGCCTAATGTGAGAGTAGCTTTGGTCTCGCCTGAAGCCTGTTATTAGCGTTTTTTGTCTCCGCGCTCGCTCAGTCGAGGTTCGTTGCGTTAACTGCATTCGTTTCTTCCCATTTTTCCTTTTCAGTTTTCTTTTGTTTTTTCTATCATTTTTCTGTTTCTTCACCGTTTTTTCATTTTTCTATTTTTTCATCTCTTCATCGGTTTTCTTCATCTCTGTCATGATTACAATTATTTTTATTTTCTTTTTATTCATTATCTTTGTTTCTTTTCTCGGTTTTCTCTGCCTTTTGCTTTTCTTTCTATATTTTGTTTTATATTTTCTTTGTTTTTTGTTGGTTTTCTTTGTTTCTCTTTGTTTCCTTCTCAGTTTTCACCGTTCTTTTGCATTGTTTTCTTTGAATTTCATTTCCTTTCTTTGTTTCTTTGTTTTTTTCTTTTTACTTTCTATTGGATTTCTTTGTTCTTTTGTCGACTTTAATCAGTTCCTTTTTTCAACACATGTCAATTTTTGTCAGTACACATTCAACATTTTTCATATACATCAGAAATATATATTTTAATTGTGCTTAACATTTTTTAAATACATGATTAACATTTTTTGAAAACTTATATAGTTTGAAGTTTACTCTTTTCCATACACATTGCACATTTTTCTTATATATCTAATACATATGTTTAACATTTTCCAATACAAGATCAATATTTTTTAAATACATAGTCAACATTTTTAATACATGGCAAACATTTTGTTAATGACAATAAATATTGTTTTCACACATAATGCACATTTTTTGTATACATCAGGAACTTTTTTATATACATGTTTAATATTTTTGAAATACATAATTATTTTTTTAAGTATATGTTTTTGATGCCTACGTTTTATTTATATATCTTTTACAGTAGGAAAAATATTATACACCTTTAATATTTTAAAAATATATGATCAATATTTTTCGTACTTTTTTATATTTTTTGTTCACGTGATAAGAAAAATTCTATAGGCATTTAACATTTTTCAAATGACTGATTATTTTTTCTTGAAAACACAATTAACATTTTTAAAATGCTTGATTTACATTTTTTAAATACACGATCCACATTTTTGTACATGAGAAACATTTTATCTATACATATTTAATAATGTAACATTTTTAAATGTTTGAGATGTGTTTTTTGTAATATGTGTATTTAGAATATTTTAAAGTATAAACAAAGGTAAAATAAGAAAGCAAAAAAATGAAATAAAAAACAGAAAAAAAACAAGGCTGTGGCATGTGGCCTCACTCACGCATGCCTGTGCCAGCCCATAGCGTGCTCGCCTTCAGGCGAAGCTTCCCTACGCCTCGTTATAGGCATGGAGTGTTCGAATCCCTCTCTTTCCGTTTTTCCTAAAAGACATAGTGGCGCCCGATGCTTGAGCGAGCGTTGAGCCGTATGAGCTTCCTTGCTAGGCCGGCCCATAGGAGGGGACCGTGAGCGCTGGGTAGAAAGGCGTTGGGTAGAGAGGACCCCTTACAAAAAGGACTTCTATGTGAGGTGAGACCGAATGACCATCTCTTTCAAAAATGAAGAAGAGGCCAGCCTCAAAGCGTTCGCATGTAGAGAGGTGCTATCCCTGGCAAAAGATCTTCTTCTCCAAAATTTCGTCATCGCATGAAACTCAAAGCAAGTGGGTCAAGACATCAACAAGTGCAACACCGGACAATATGGTTCCATCACCAACGAGATCAAGATGAGGGCCGGTAGTTTTAACTGTAAATTCCTCTTTCAAGGCCGAGCCGCAAATAACGTACCTCATAGCTTAGCTAGATTTTCGCTATCATTAGGTCAGGGGCGCCACCTGTGGCTTGCCCATCCTCATAGTCCAAATTGTATCCCAACTGTGGCTTATGATCTAATATATAAAAATCAGACCTTACCCCTAAAAAATATATCTCTTTCAAAAAAGAAAAGACCTGACCACCCTCTAGGAAGAATAAAAGGGAGGAGCGAATCAACCTGTGGTTGAGTTGGTTAGGTGGACAGTGGTATCCCCAATCCACCAGGGTTCAAATCCTGATGCTCGCATTATTCCTGGATTTATTTCAGGATTTCCGGCGATACGCTTTCAGTAGGAGGAGATGTTCCCGTCGACGACGAGGCGCCTACGGTGACTTCGTAAATCTCAAGATGATATGCCGGCTCAGTCTCTCGGAGGTTCTCATAGGGGTAGGGTGTGCGTGTGTGCGTTCATAGGGGTGAGTGTATGCGCGTGTATATGAGCGCTTGTGTCTGTACTGACGCTCAAAAAAAAAGAATAAAATGGAGGAGCCCTACACTCCAACTCTTCTGCACCGAATAAATCTGTGAATGCATTCCCCGTGCCTCAGTCCAGTACCGAAAATCAATCCAGCCGAAGGAAGTGGATGGCATGCTTTAGACGTCTGTAGCGCTCTAGTTTCTCATAAAACATGGTAAGCAGGCAGAAGGCATGACCTACATTTCTCAACTTCCTATGGGTGAATGACATCAGAGATGCCAAATCCAAAGGGCGTGAGCTTTCCGCATTTCTCGGCTGTGTCTCTAAACAGTAACAGAAACAATGACAAATCATACGATGACCGTTCGCATTGACCTTTAGCACCGCCACATTCTGTTATATTCTGGCCCATCAATTTTGTGTGACTTGCCACTATGATATTCTTGGCAGTTGGCACAGCATATAAATTAGGTCCCATGAGACCTTGAGTTTCAACTTCATGAACAAAGTTCAGGTATGCTCTCTTCTAGTGCTACATGTAACTCACGATCTCAACACTTTTCTGCTTTCTTTAGGAAGATTAAAATCATAACACTGAGCCAGCATGGATTTCTTGTGCTCCATTTTACTGATCATCTTGCGCTTACTGAGGTGTATTTATCATTACAAATTTGTTTCGGGATACTCAATAGTTTGCCGGTTGGCTAATGCGCTTGCGGTAGTTGAAGCACGAAAAAGATGCTAAGGGGTCTGTTAGGTGTGGGACAAGCAGAGTTCCTTCATGTTCCATCTTCCATGAATCATGCATGCCGCGTACAACGCCAAATTGCATAGCTTAAAACTCCACGGCACCACCTCTTCTGCAACGACCGAAGCAACCAAGCCAGCTGCAATTTCTGTTTCTAACCGAATTCTATCTGCTGCTGCGTTCTTGTCGAGTCATCTTTTCCCCTTAGTATGTGCACTGCAACTCCGCAGTCTGCAAGTAATTGCCACTTTATTTTAGCTCAAGATTAGTTCATATATATGGTGCTATTTGTTGTCCGATTTCCGCATGCATTTGATTTTCTGTCAAAATCGAGTTACTCAAAGCATTTCTTTCTATGCTCATCAGTTTTTATACTCTGTTGATTTGGTTTGAAGGTGCCAGGTGCTGTTTGGTCAATATGATTGTTGGGGGTGGCTATTTTGAAGGTTCCCATGATCATAATCTCATGCCGGGATCTTTAATAAAACCTGACTTTGCAAATGAGAGGCAGAGGAGGGAATGGATGAATGTAGCGTTCTGGGCTTTAAGAATCCTCCTCCCCGATCCCAAGGTTTGTCTTGTTCATCATTTTGCAAATTTAGGTGATTTAATGACTTTCATATGTACTTCAAAACTGCGACACTTATTTTGGATCGGATGGAGTACATAATACTCAACTACTAGAAGATAATATAATTTCTGTATAATTTCACCCATTCTTCTGGATGCCATCTTCAGAATACTATGCAGTTTTCACTGTCTTCTTAATTAATGAAAATGGCAATTCTTTTGCCTCGTTTCCAAATAAGAAAAATAATATTGCAGCCTAATAGACCCATGTTTTGTATTAGATCAACAAAAATCCCTTTTCAAAACTGTCTTTTATGTAAAGTAGGTTCAAGAAACATGAGTTAAATAATATGCTTCTTCTGGCCTTTTGTAAGAATACTCTCGTTCGATCTCTGTTTACATTCGGTCTGATACCAACATCCTGTTAAAAGTATTTGCCATGAAGTAGATCGTCACTCTGCTGGTGCTATACTATTTAACCCATATATCCTGATTGAGTATGTCAGTTAACCTCTATTTAATCATGGAGAGCAATAAAAAAAATTGATATATCAATATTATTTTGATTTTTAGTGACTGTATTTACTTTGATTTTTTCATAAGATAATGTCATCATCTTCATTGCATTACTCTTCAAAAACAGTACCCACATCTCTAGTGATGTAATCTTGACCAATTAGATAGGACTTTCTGATTTACTCAAAGAAAAACTAAACAGCATGACAGAACAATGAAAATCTTCCTTGTACTCCCTCCATTTTATAGGGTGCTCATATAAGTTCATATAAGTTCGATATTGCATTAATGCGCTACAGAACTTTTTACTAGGACGACAGGGTCTCAAATGTAGAGGATGCCATTGAATACATACATGAGCTGAACCGGACAGTGAAGGAACTGAAGATCCTAGTAGAACAGAAGAGGCATGGGACTAATAGGAAAAAGATGATAAAGATGGACGAAGAGGCAGCTTCCGATGGCGAGAACTCATCGACGATGCCAGTGAGGGATGAGCAAGACAATGAGCTCGATTGGGCCATAAGGAGCTCCTGGGTGCAGAGGAGGTCCCAGGAATGCCGTGTTGATGTCCACATAGTGGAAAATGCAGTAAACGTCCAGCTCACTGAATGGAAGAACGCCAACTCCCTGCCTCATGCCGCGAAGGTTCTCGACGAGTTCCATCTTGAGATCATCAGCGTGGTCGGACAGATTGTTGGCGATCACCGCATATTCATCTTCAACACTAAGGTACTGAGAGGATATTCTTTAATTTAAGCAGCATCAGGAACCTCTTTCCTGACATCACCGATTATCATTGACAGTAAATGCTACATGTCCATGTTGACGCAGGTATCTGAAGGCTGCTCGGTGTATGCCCTTGCAGTGGCCGAGAGGCTCTTTCAAGCAGTTGATGCACAGCACCAGGCCCTCAACATACTCGGCCAGGCTCTAGCAACCAAACTGACTATCTGAAGAAGTTCATAGTCTGCAACTGTCTTGGAGTAGCAATTTCATGCCTGTTCTCTCAGTGACAAAAGTTGTTAAATCGGGCTTGATAATCTGGCCATGCGAAAGTCATAAATTGCGTTGGCTGTTCATTTCATCTGTAGTTGGTTTGAAAACATAATAGCAGAACAACATGATTCACTCATGTTTGGATAGTTTACTGTGCTCTTCGTACCTTCGCGGCCGCCGCTGGCTAACCCATTGGATCATCTGACGTGGCAGCTGCTGGTCCTCGCCGCCGCTCTACGGGACGCCGCGGCCTGTGCGAGCAGCACGGGAAGCCACCTCGTCCGGTCGGGTGCAGGGGCTCGGAGCCACCACTACGGCGAGGTCCGCCCCCGCCCCACGGCCAGCTCCCTAGGAGAATCGTCCCGGGCCGGGAGGAAGAAGGCCGACGGATCGGAACAGCACGCGATAAGATATTTTGGTTGTTTTGTCTTCCGCCTGATAATTATCTTCTGTATTCATATTTAAATTTGAAATTTAACGTGTTATGATTTTGGAATGTAACTACGCAGTATGCATTTTTTGTTTTTTATAGCTTGATAAATCAATATGAACTTGAATGATCGGTCGTGTTTCGACGGAGCTGCGAGCGACGATGACCTCGGCTTCATGTGGGAGGACGAGAGACGCAGGGGTGGGGTTGACCTTTTCTGCAGTGCGACGAAGGGAATACTTCAATCGAAAGGCTATTCATAGGCAGATCGGACGGCAGCACGTCGACCGGCCAGACTCTGCCGCTGGTCGACCTGCACAGAGTACTACCCATTAATATGTCACTCATTTGCTATCTTTTTTTCAAACAACCCTAATTTGTATACATTGTAGCATATGTTTGTGTTTGCATTTGAATACAATGTGTATGTTTTGTGACCACTATTAGCGAGAAAAACTGGACCCAATCCAGCGGACGCAGCTCCTCTGACGTACTACGCACACACTGACGTATGGACCCGGACCCACACGTTAGTGGCCCAACGTCAGGGGGCGTATGTCAGGGGATCCGGCTCCCAATCCAGCAAGGCCTAGACATTGTGTGACCAACCCACAATGTCACATACAATAGTAGTGTATAATGTGATCTGTTCACATAACATAACTGATACTATACCTTCGTCCTGGTTTATTGGCCCCCTTCGTATTTTGTGCTAAATTTTGACCATGGATTTAACTAACAAAATATTAATGCATGTCATAAAAAATTATACCGTTGGATTTGTATTTGAATATAGTTTTTGATGATATTACTTTTGCTATGTATAACTTACATCTTATTAGTTAAAATCATGATCAACATATGACCCTAAATACGAGGGGGACTAATAAATCAGGACGGAGGTAGTATTTATGCGAAATTGATTGCCCGAAACAACATTTAAACACAAGAAGACTTGTCGGCCTTTTGGGTTAATGATGAAAACAACACGATTATTTAGTCTAAAACACGACTAACAATAAATTGTCTAGTATTTTTTTCAAGTCACTTTCGATCCATGTATCTCCACTAATCATAATGGTTTATAGGGTTTTGTGGAGAGATACATGGATCCTATGTCTCCACATAATCTTTTGTACACATAGGGTATGATTGTGTTTTTACATCACCAGGTACCTTACTATAGTTGAGTTGATAGATATAAGTAAAAAAACTTTAAAAGACAACTAAAAATACTTCAAAAATACTTACATTGTGCCACCTCTTCATCCATCCTATCTTCTATTCTTGCTGGCGTTTGTCAAAATATCAAATCAGGCAAAAATAAGTTCGAGAAAATATACAAACCTCGAAACATACACCATACCCCCTCCCCCAATTAGGATTATGTTTGACACATATAGAAGTGATGGTGCCTTCTGAGAGATGGTTGGCTACTTACAAGAACGAGAGCATATGGCATCCACTCGAGTCATTGATAATAATTTCCTTTTCTTTGGTCCAAAGTGCATTTCATTCTAATGAAAGATGAGCACTTCTCTTGCAAAAACCAATTCTGGACCTAGGGACGCCAGTCATATGTTTTGAAGATCTAAAGAAGATGTTCGTTCCAATGGGATCTGAGATAGAAAAAGGTCAAATGAGACAAACTAACAATTGGAAGGGCACATCTAGTATACAGGCACATCATGGACAAATAATTCGTATATATTAAGCACATTTAACTTAAATCTAGAAGTCATTGGGTAGATATTTCTAGCTTCTTGTTCACCCTGTTCCTCCTTGGCTAGATAGTTCTTCTTCTTCAGTCATCTTCTATGTTTGATGTCTATTACGATGTTCTTATTTCATTTTGTTTTTCTTGTTTCATCTTGTAGTCTTTGTTGATAGTGTGAGTGAAGTATGTACAAGCCATGGAATCTTTCAAAATGGAGTAATATAGATTAACACGACAATTTCAGAGGTATTCCACTATTCTAATTCTCTATTCATTCTGAAATCTTGTTTCTTGTTTCATTCTACCTATTGTTCAACTCTTTATATTTCCTATTTTTTGTTCACATTAGTAGATACTAATGCAACTAATGATAATTTCTAATTATGTCTTTATGGATCACATATTTGTTATAACTAACTGGAAGTTTCTTATGTTGATTCTTCAAGTAGAACTAAAACAATGATTCTAAACCTACCAATTATTCTGGTGTTTCTCTCCTACGAGGTTTCCACTTTATTTAAACTAACGAAGCGTATTCTCTGAAACCAAACCTTGGGTTCGAAGGTAATGGAAATACAATTCTCAGTCTTTCACCTTAATTTTATTCTAGTTTTGTCTCAAATGAACTTGATTTGTTATTCCCCTTTTCATGTTAGTTGAAGCACACTATATTCATTTCTTATATTGATTTATGTTATAATTCAATTCATGCGGTCATGCCCATTTTATTCAGCAATTTTTTGTCTTCAAGTTGTTATATATACCTATTACTAGATTGACGTGATCAGTGTTGTTCATAACTTAACTTTCAGAACCGGTAGGAGGTTCCATAAACACTAGACGAAACCAAGCATATTCCAAATGAGCATATCAAATAACTAGATCATGTGCATGGAAAATTAGAATCGAAGATATTTTCTATTTCAATACCAAATACACACATGTTGTCAACTTATTATCGAACAAGCTTGCATGACACATTTGTCAATGGTTCAATCCATACTCTGAAAGTTTCTATAATTGTGTTTACCTAATAATACACTAGAAAAAACTATTAAGATATTATTTAGATTATACACTTTAGAGATCTCTATTATGATATTTAGGTACACATGAACATATACACATACAAACATATATGTATACACTGTATAATTTATCCAGTTGTATAAAACTAGTTTGAGAATTTTTTTACTACAACACACTGTACAAATTTACCAGAACCACAATTTTTAGTGATATACATCACAATTATATAATAAAAATATAACTAATATTTTAAAACAAAAATTAACTATGAAAACCATGTAATAGTAAATTGCAATTGTTAAGTGTACTATGATTAATATAGGTTTATAAAAATAAAAGTTTAGTATAAAAATCTTTAGTTTAATTAGCCATGAGTGTTGATTTCTTTCGAAATTTTTGAAGTCTCTAAAATGTCTTATATTTATTTACAACGGTAGTACTTCTCAAATGAACCTAATTCATAGAAGCAACAAAAACATTGTCATTCTCAGTTGCAGCAAAAGAAGATAAAAATAACAAAATATCTAGCTCGGAATATCTATTGGAATCTCAAATTTTGTGTGAACTGAATTTGGCAATGACTCTCCGAGAAAATGATAAAATAAGCATTTGACTTGCTTGACAGCTATTGCTTTCGCTATCTTGCTTGGACTTAGGGATTAGAAATTTTTATTGGGAAAGAGATTGGATTGGCATTCAAGTAGGAGTAGATCCTATTGGTCCAAAGTAACCATTCTTGTATCAATTGAAGTAGCTATCTTCACGAAATAAGCGCTAAGATTCTAGTTCAAAGATAGGAGCATTAAGCTCTCTAAATCCAGTCAATCCAGCTGGAAGTTTCACTAACTACTAGGGAACTAGGGACTAGAAAAAAATATTTTCTACCTAGAGGTATCAGGGCCGTACCCGAGAAAATGGGGGCCCTGCACCAAATCAAAAATTAGGCTCTTGATACAACCATTGATAATTAAAAAAAGTAAAACAAATATTTAGCAGGAAGTGATTCTTATCAAAAAGAAATTCTCAAAACAAAATTATTATAATATATATGTATCTCGTTGGTACGTAGTTGAAGTACATCTAATAAGTAAGCTATTTTCAATACTCGGAATTACTACATTATTTTGCACAAATCATGCCATCCTTCTAGCATTCCTTTGATACAAAATCTTCATGCTATTTTTCGTACACAATGTCATCCCAATATCATTTGATTCTTTTGCTAAAAAACATATCAAGAGCACCTTTTCGAGATTGACTTATTAGTTCGCTAAAACTAATGATGTATTAATAATGGAACATATAAACAAAAGGGGATGAAACAAACTTTGATTTATTTGGGAAGAAGAATTCGCAGGGCAATACATCTGGTCGTCTGGTTCATGTCTTGCCTGGCAAGCACCTCAGGCTTGGCCTCCAACTCCATTGGGCGCATCCAGGTCACAACGTGGGTAGCAAGCAGCAATGCAATTGAAATCCGAAGAAGCAGAGAAGACATGAGAAATCAAGGAGAAGCCACAGAACAAATGGATGGTGGATTGAGGGTGTAGAGTACTCATACGTCTCCAACGTATCTACAATTTTTGATTGCTCCATGCTATATTATCTTCTGTTTTGGACATTATTGGGCTTTATTATCCACTTTTATATTATTTTTTGGGACTAACCTATTGACCCAGAGCCTAGTGTCAGTTCCTGTTTTCCCCTTGTTTCAGTGTTTCGACGAAAAGGAATATCAAACGGACTCGAAACGGAACGAAACCTTCTGGAGAAGTTATTTTT